GCGGTGGTGGGTACCAGAACAGCCGGGGTGGTGGTGGCAGCGGCCGGTACCAGAATAGCCGGGGTGGTGGTGGTGGCGGCGGGTACTACAACAACGACGATGGGTACTACCAGCCGAGGAACTTGAACAACAGGGGCAGGGGCGCAGGGAGGTGGCCACGCGAACACCGAGAGGATTGAGGCAATGGCATATGTGGAAGTCTGGGAGGTCAGGAGAGGGAAGGGGCAATGTGGAAGTCTGGGAGCCATTTTGTTATTATAGAACTACGGAGTATGTAATAACCTAGCCTGTGGGTATGTCGCAATCCAGTCCCTCCCCATCTGCGAGTTTTTTTGTTGCTCCAATGAGTGCATAATGGTTGGTTGGTAAATGTGGAATCTCGTTGAAAGTAGCTTCAGGTCATACATGTGTTGCTTCTTTTTCTGGCTGTGTGAGTTGTCATATATTTCCGGTTGGTTTATTATTTTTGTTAGATGTCTTTCTATGTCATTCCTGTTCATTTTCCAGTGTTTGTGTTTGTGTTACCTTTGTTTGTTCTGGCCTGTATCGTAGCTCTTCAAAAAAAGAAAAAAAAAATACTGTTTGTTTCGGTGAATGCTGATCGAGATTTTGGCTTTGTCTTTAATAATCCTGATAAGTGTCACCGTAGCCGATTATGCATAGTTGCGTCTAGGTCTTGCATGCGCAGGAGCGCAACTGAACACAAAAAAATGTTTTTACCTGAGGTCTACTTGCATGGTTTGTTTACCGTTGGGAAGATTCTGGGAGGACTTTGTCAGGCAACTGACCATTTTCGGTTTCTTGCAAGTTCTCCAGCTACTCCGATCGATGCTGGAGAGCTTGCTGGCGGGACGCTTGTCGTCCCTCGCCGAATGGGCACACATGGCGGCCGGGACAGAGACGCCAACGGGGGAACGCCCTATCCAATGGTGGCATGGTGGCCGGCCGAAAATTGGGTCGGCTGTCGTTGGCTTTTCCTTATGCATGCAATCAAAGGGACAGACCAGTACCGCTCTTCCATCGGTATTGTCTTCAGAGAGATTAAAATCTTTGTTAGTTTAAACTTTTTCTTTTTTAAGATTGTTTTTTGCCCAAGGGGCTGTAATACTGTAGCTGATTCTCTAGGAGCGTGTTTGGTTGATGTAGCCAACAGTAGGTGCATTGCATAGCCTTCTCAACTCAGTCTGGCTATGTAAATGCAGCCTCAAATGCATCATCTGCATGTTGTTTGGTTGCCTGCATGGGCAGAACCACACTGCTGGTATTCGGTTGCCTGCATGTTAGTGGACAAACCCAAGGCATGGTGTTTGGTTGTATGCAACGTCTGGTGTGTGGTAACCTCTTTGGCTAGTTGGTGATGTTACCAGCACACTTCGGCACAACCATGTAGCACACATCATAAGCAGAGCAGAGTATAAAAAGAGGATCAACTACTTAAGAGCATATTTCTGATAAGCAGTACCACACTTCATAACAGTTCTATGCATAAACCATAAACATAAACAATTCAAAGCAGACTCGATAGTACTTAGGGAGGCCCCGACCCTACTCCTTGGCGGTGAAGGCTTCGTCGTGCTTCCCGCACTTGTTGACGACCTCAATGCAATCGTCGTCGAAGATGGTGACCTTGAGGGTGTCTGGAGTGAGGAGCTTGAACCTCACCATGTAGCCGATCTTGATCTGATGAACGGCCGCGTATGTGGCCCAACCCTGATCCAGGGTCACCCTGTCGTTCATCAGCTTCACCGTCACCTTCCAGGAGCAGCCGGTGTTGTTCCTGAGCTTGAACTCCGTCGGCACCGCGACGAAGTGCTTGGTGAAGTCCAGGGGCATGGGGATGCACTCAAGCTTCGGTGCAAGGATGACCTTGCAGAAGTGAGTTGGGCCATCCTCCTGATGGTAGTGGCCGTAGTTGCGGCGCTTGTTGCTGGGGGGGCTCCTCCATGCCCTCATCGTCGCCACCCTCAGGCGTCTTCGGGTCTTCCTCGGCGGCGGGCGGCAGCACAACCTCGTCGGGCATTAGGTGAAGGGGTTGCTTGCCCTTGTTGTCAACGGTCGGGAGCACCTCCGTGCCCATCTCATTGCTCTCCTCGATCTGCACACAATTCATGGAGTCAGGCACAGCACAGATTTCATGGCTTATTGAAGAGCATGTAGTTAAAACGGCATGACTGTCACTCTTCTCCTCCTCTCCATCGCCCATACTCACCCTGCCCACCACTACTTACCCACCCCCTCTCTTCTCTAACTGTCAACCTTCCTCCTCCCCATCGCCATGAGCTCTAGCTCCAGCTCCAAAGCCAACCCCTTCCCTTGGGGTATTGGCTGGAGGGCCTTCTTCCTCGGGTGGTCGGCTGGTGACCGCACCAAGTTCGAGAACACCATGGAGGTGTGCTCGAACTTCGGCTCCATGCCTGACATGCAGAAGGAATCTAATGCAGTGTTCATGAAGGCCATTGCAGAAGAGCTGAAGACGTTGATTCCTGACCCAGCGAAGGGTGCGATGGCAGTTGACATCATTCGCTGGGCCATGAATCAGGCCGTCTCCGACGACGGTAAACAGAGGAAGAAGTGGTGCAAGTACAAGAACTACTGGGCTCCTAATGACCGCCGTGCCGCAGTGTACTGGGAGACGGCTATCACGCCGCCGGCGGTCATCAGTGGGGAGCCTAAGGAGGAAGAAGAAGCGATGCAGATGCCAGCAAGGGCGCCGGAGCCAGGCCGTCGTACCTGGCAGATCGACCTCGACTCCGCCGAGGACGACGACGATGACCCGCCGGCCCGCACGGCGATGAAGAAGAAGATGAAGGCTAGCAGCTCGACCCACCGCTCCGCACGCCGGTGACGGCCGCCGCGGTGAGCCGGTGTCCGTTGTGTACCCCCTATCCCCCAATCCCCCTTCTGCATCCGCATCTACCTCTATTCCGATCTTGCATATATGAACTCGTATGAACTGGTATGAACTAGTATGAACTACCCCTATGCTTATCTACCTCTATTCCCCATTCCCCTCCGCCGTGGATCGAATCTATCGCCGGATCGAACGGGAAAAAGTTTTGCATGTCGAACAAAGAGAAGTGCTTACCGCCATTGCCGCGGGCCAACTGTTGATCCGCTCGCCGGTGATGGAGTCCGGTGGTCTTCTTGCTCTGCTCCGATCCGCCGCCGCCGGTGAGAGTTGGGAGAGTGGGGAAGAGTGGGGAGAGGGAGCGGTGAGGGGCGGTGAGGCTAATAACTGCCGGCGCTTCGGGAAGCAACATGGCTTCTCGAGCGTGGCCGCACACGTGCAGCCGTCGCCGCCCACGTGCACCGCTCGGGCATGGCCTTGGAGAAACTGCCGATTCGTGCGTTCCCAGGGAGTTAGGCCCAGGAGTGCTTTAAGGTTCGTGTCATGCGGGCCGAACAGTGAAAGCAGGCAACCAATCGACCCGTTTTCGTCCCGCGCGAGCCAGGCCGGGCCTCATGCAGGCTACCAAACACGCCCTAGCTGCTCACGGTGCATGTATGAGCCATGCATCCTCAGCCTTGTGGCCGGATGGGGCTCCAGACTTTGTTCATGCGTTAATTGCCAGCAATTTGACTGGCCGTTCTGGTTAATGGAATAAAGAGTATTCCGGCTCAAAAAAATTTAAAAAGCTCCAAAGCGAAAACGCCTCCTTATCTCGAATCTTGCTTTTTTTAAACACAATACAGACGCAAGTGCTCATACTATTATAACACACACGCGTACATCCTATCCCTATGAGCATCTCTGAGAGATCGAGCCGGCATATCATCTTGAGATTTTATGAATAAGTCACCGTAGGATAAGTGCGAGCACCAGGACTTGAACCCTGGTGGGCTGGGGATACCACTGTCCACATAACCATCCAACTACAGGTTGGTTCGTGTCTCGAATCTTGTTAGAGCAATTTCTCCTTGTTGTATGCATAGGAATAGCGGAAATTCAACATGGGTCATATTACCATATGGTATCATTATCCGAGCCGTTGGTCCACATAGGGATCAGTGAACACAGGCGTATTGCATGATGCATTTCTTTTTCATTGCATCAATATTCAATGCGCCAGTGCTTCTTGCCGGCTGTCCATTAATGTTGTGGCCCACAATGGTGTTCTAACGACGCTACTTTCTACTTTTTCTGGACCGGAGCTTGTGGCACATGGTCTGCTCCATACTAAGGCCTACTCCAACGCATGACCCAAACAGACGTCCGTTTTGTCTGGATTTCGTCCGTTTGAGGGTGACAATTGGGTCGTATCCACCCGGATTTGAGTTTGCGTTGGCAGGACGCCCAACGAGCGGTCGCATCTTCGACGCATCTTGTCCCCGTGCATGCAAACATGAGAAACCAAGGATTTAAGTCGCGGCCACGGTTCGCTAG